CAAACTCTTCCAAAAAATTGAGAAGGAAGGGACAATACCAAACACGTTCTATGAAGCCAATATTACACTAATACCAAAACCGAATAAGGACAACACAAAAAAGGAAAACTATAGGCAATCTCCCTAATGAACACTGATGCAAAATCCTCAATAAAATTTAGCTATCAGAATCCAACAATGTATCCATAAGATAATTCACCACGACCAAGTTGGATTCATTCCAGGGACAAGGATGGTTTAACATCCGAAAATCAATCAACGTTATCCAACACATCAACAAAAAGAAATATAAAAACCATATGATAATATCAATAGATGCTGAGAAAGCTTTCGACAAAGTGCAACACCCATTCATGATAAAAGCCCTTGAAATTCTTGGGATACAAGGAACATACCTCAACATCATAAAGGCCATCTATGACAAGCCAACAGCCAGTATCATTCTCAATGGTGAAAAGCTGAAAGCAATTCCATTAAGATCTGGAACAAGACAAGGATGTCCACTCTCACCACTGCTTTTCAATATAATACTGGAAGTCCTAGCCAGAGCAATAAGACAAGAGAAAGACATCCAAGGAATCCAAATTGGAAAAGAAGAAGTCAAACTATCACTATTTGCAGATGATATGATAATATACATAGAGAACCCCAAAATCTCCACAGAAAAACTAATTCAACTCATCAATCAATTCAGTAAAGTGCAGGATACAAAATCAACACGCAAAAGTCAGTAGCCTTCCTATACACAAACAATAAATCTGAAGAAGAAGAAATCAAAAAACCACCCTTTTATTATCGAAACAAAAAAATCAAATATTTGGGAATAAATCTAACAAAAGAGGTAAAGGACCTATACAAAGAAAACTATAAAACACTGTTAAAGAAATAGAAGAAGACACAAAGAAATGGAAAGACATCCCCTGCTCATGGATTGGAAGAATAAACATTATTAAAATGGCCATCCTACCCAAAGCAATATACAGATTCAATGCTATTCCAATCAAAATCTCAATGGCATTCTTCAAAGAAATAGAACAATTATTGATGAAATTCATATGGAATCACCAAAAACCCCGAATAGCCAAAGCTCTACTGAAAAAAAAAAGAAGGAAATGGAGGCATCACACTCCCAGACTTCAAACTATACTACAAAGCCATAATCATCAAAACTGCATGGTATTGGAACAAGAACAGACATACAGACCAATGGAATCGAATAGAAAATCCAGAAATAAACCCACAGATTTATGGTCAACTAATCTTTGACAAAGGAGCAAAGACTATGCATTGGAGCAAAGAAAGTTTGTTCAATAAATGGTGCTGGAAAACTGGGTCGCTACATGCAAAAGAATGAAGCTTGACCACTACCTCACACCATACAAAAATCAACTCAAAATGGATTAAAGAACTAGACATAAGACTGAAACCATAAAATACATAGAAGGAAATATAGGCGAAACACTACGGGATTTGCACATCAAAGACATCTTTACAGACACATCACCCAAAGCAGTGATAGTGAAGAGAAAGATAAACAGCTGGGACTACATCAAATTAAAGAGCTTCTGCACAGCAAAAGAGACAATAACAAAACCAAAGAGAAACCCCACCAACTGGGAGAACATTTTTGCACCCAACACTAATGATAAAGGACTGATCACAAAAATCTGCAAAGAGCTGATGAGACTCAGCAACAACAAAGAAAATAATCCAGTCAAAAAATGGGCAGAAGAGCTAAAAAGAAACTTCTCTGAGAGGAAATGCAAATGGCCAACAGACATATGAAAAAATGTTCAACATCACTTGTAATCAGGGAAATGCAAATCAAAACTACCATGAGATACATCTCACACCAGTGAGAATGGCACATATTAAAAAACTAGCAACAACAAATGTTGGCGAGGATGTGGAGAAAAAGGAACTCTTCTGCACTGTTGGTGGGAGTGCAAACTGGTCCAACCATTATGGAGAGCTGTGTGGAGATTTCTGGACCTACTAAACATAGAGCTTCCATATGATCCAGCAATTCCACTCCTAGGTATTTACCCAAAGGACACAGAAATATCAATTCCAAAGAGCACCTGCACTCCTATGTTTATAGCAGCACTGTTTACAATAGCTAAGCTTTGGAAACAACCCAAATGCCCAAAAATAGATGACTGGATCAAGAAGATGTGGTACATATATACCATGGAATATTACTCAGCATTCAAAAAAGATAAACACATGCAATTTGCAGCAACATGGATGGCACTGGAAGGGATCATGCTCAGCGAAATAAGCCAAAAAGAAAAAGAAAAATACCGGATGGTCTCACTCATAGCAGGAATCTAGAAAACTTAATTAAGGGACCAGGAAAATGAATATAAGAAAGTGAAAATCAAAATCAACAAAAAACTATGAACCAGAGACACTTTTTGGGGGGTGGGGGGCGGGAGGGGAAGGATTGGGGTCAGAATGGGGCGTTTGCAATTGTATGGGGGAATATAAAAATAAAATTTAATATTTAAAAAAAAAAAAAAAAGATGACAACCTTTGCTCATTAGTAGAGGGAAATTCATGAATTGGATAACTTAAGACAAATTCACAGTAGTCAATAGTTAAAAAGATTGAGGTATATACATACACTGACATAAAACGTTAGTGCTAGCAAAAAAACTATCAAAGATTCACAATATATACTCTATGGTCCCATCAAATTTAAAAATAGATTAATGACTGTTCAGAAAGAAGGATAAAAGAATATATACTTATTAATTTTACCTCTAGGAGGAGAGGTTGGAATAGAGGGACTACAAGAGGAGTTTTAATTTTTATTCTATATATCACTATATTCTTTATTGTACAATAATAACATTACCCAATCATCTAAATTAACAAACTTGAAACTGGAAAGAGATGCTGAAAACCTGGTAATTAAGTGTCACCTAAGAAGCCCAATATTCAGAACACCAAGAGTCAACATCAAGTTGTCCTGTGAACAAAAGAAGTCTGAATTGCTCAGATCCACTTATACATTTTTTTTTTTTCTATCTGTGGGCTTTGCATTCACAGATTCAACCAAACACTTTTGAGTCCACAAATGCAGTACCTTTGTTTACAGAAGGCTGACTAGGTTTCATATGTGGCTTTTCCACTGCATGGAGGAATTGCTTTGTTCAAGAGTTAATTGTTCAAGAGTCAAATGTATCATTGGTGTATTTCCTTCCATTTTGTATAAATATGCATGGCATAGCCAACATAATTTTCTATCTAAAATTTATTTTCTTTTAAAAATTAACATTATTTCATGAGAATTTCACCTTGTTAGAAACATATCAGTGTGAATGTACTTAATGCCATCTAATTATACACTTAAAACTGTTTAAAACTGTAAATTTCATGCTATGAATATTTTACCACAATAAAAACTAAGCTAAATTAACTAATAGTGGCTACAATAAGAGCTTATTGCTTATTTGGTATTTTGATTGACTAATTGAAGCAGGTTTCCAGAAATTCCAGATCAAGCTTAGTTCAAAAAGACAGAATGAAGTATGGATCTGTGCGTTATTAAATAAGCATTCTATATGCAAATTCATTTCACCCCCTCTTTAATCCAATTTCAGTATTTCTGAGCAGTTTTCTATTTGCCCCTTCTTTTCTTCCATGTAGATCACCAAATAAAGAACAAAAACAGATTCTGAATAAGATAAAAATGGGACGGTACATGCATTTTGAGATCTGTATTCATGCGACCCTATCATGTCCTACAAGATGGTGTTATTTAAAATATAAATCTCTAAGGTTCCAATGGGTATAGCTATAAGGTAGAACTTTTCTCCATAGTAGATGGCGAATGTTCTGGAACTCTGCATTCACTATTCGCCAGAGTTTATATATAGACAGTGGTTCTGAAGTTTGTAATATTACTATAGTTCCTGGTAGCTGAATGAGTCTTGTAGATTAATGGAATGGAAAAGTTTAAAAAAAAAAAAAAACTTGCTGAGAATTTCTGAGAGCTTTTATAGGATGAGTGTTATTCTTCCCTCGCTCTTTCCTTTCCCAGCTCTCTCCTTCCCCCTCTCTCCTCTCTATCTCCTCATAACTAGAGGATATGTTTGATATCAGTGGGGATTGACAACAGAATTAAAAAGAAAGTCCCTGAATTACAAAATCATGTTTTACATATAAACAATTAAAGAATTTAAAGGAATAACAGAAAATAAATTAAGCTTTATAAGAGTTCTAGTGGTTGCTGGTATAGATAACCCACAAAAAAAAGGCTAGTTTATTTCTAATCTATTTCTAGAAAATGTAGATAAAGTTGCATTTTTGTTACTGACATATTTGCTTGTAATTTGTCTACTAGCAATGATTTAAATTTTATCTCTATTAAAAAAAAACACTGCATCATACCCCTTCCTTTCTGTTAAAGTTCAGATTGGACTTTTTTAAATGCCCATTTTAGTGAAAGGAAAACTTATTTCTATAATTTCAAATAAAGTAGTTTGAAATATTTCAAACTATGATTTCATAAGAGGATATACCCTCTTTCTTTTAAAACTGGGATGAGGGCCTCCCCGTTGGCGCAGCGGTTGAGTGCTGGGCTGTGAAGCTGTCCGCAGCCTCTGCAGCGCAGGTTTATTACCCAGCCACCCGGCGAGGGTCCAATATGGCCCGCAGACCTCTCCTGCCCCCCGCTGCTCCCCTCAGCAGTGTATTTCATCAGTCTGCCTGCTCTGCTCTCCCCTCTGGCTCTGGTGAATTTTCTCACCCTCCCGCGCTTCTGACTGTACCCAGTGCTTGCATAAATAAATAAATAAATCTTTAATAAATAAATAAATAAATAAAACTGGGATGAAAAATAAGGTGAATGCCCAATAGCAAGACAGAACTTCTCCAACATAAACTGATTGACTTTTCAACCTGAAATATGCTTCTGCATAACTGTAATTTCAGGCAGTAGTAAAGGAAAAGGGCTATGTGATGATATTAACAGTAAAATCCCACTAACTTACTGAAAGCAATTTGGCCCAAACACGGTGGCAAGATTGTCAACATTCATGCGATTCTGCACATGGTGCTCAGCTACTTTGGCCAAGAACTGGCACAGGTACTTGAGGAGAGAGTAGTGGGTTTCCGGCAGCTCTCTTAGTAAATCTCTTAAGCTACTCTCCTGATTATCATTTCTGTCATCTGGAAAGAAAAAGAATAAAAAATGCTCTCAGGCATATTTCACAGTAATAATAACAAAAACATACAGGTATAATAAAATTTAACATTTGATTCAGAAAATAATTCCTGAAGGATGAGATAGGCAGTTTGTCTATTTGATCCTTAAGCATCTGACTTTTTTTATGTCAAAGAACTGCTTATTTAAGGCATTCTGAAAATCATGACATCTATTTGTATATAAAATGGGCTCATATTTTAATTTTGTGTTTTCTTGTCCAAAATTAACATACCTTTTAATCCATGGAAGAAACTTCCATTTTATTTTTGTGTTCAAATTTGTTAAAAACAAGAATATTTGGTTAAATAAAATTTAATACAAGGGACCTGCCTGGGTCATCCTATGTGATACTAAGTGATCAGAAATCTATACATAGAGAAAACTGAAGAAAACTTTAAATTTCCATATAGTTTTTAAACTCTCTTATGTGTCATAGTTGAGAATTTGTATGCTTCATACAAAAGCATAATAAGCTCATACATAGTGAGAAATATTAGATGAGCCAAGCTTCACAGGCAGATATATGAAAAGTTTTCTTCAATTCTCAAGGATTTGTTTCATCAATATTTAGATTACTAATTTAACTAATTCTGTATACCACTTTAGAGTAGAGGAAAATACACATCTTTCATAGCAAATACTTTATGGGAATAATCATAAACCATCCTTTAGACAGTTGTGTAGGAGAATAAAAACTTAATTCAGTTATAACAGACAGATTAGATTTCTGGATTCCTGACTTTAGGTAAATCAACTGCTTTAGTCAAATGAATTAAAAGACACTGAGGCAAACGAGATGCACTAGGAGAAATTAGTCTTACAAATGCATGGATAACATGATGTAACTATAGGAAGTGGAAACAGACAAAATACACAGGAGGTCACATAAAGTGCCTCTGAGAGAACAATGCATGTAAGAAGCCAGGCTGGGTGTAACCTCCCAGGGTTAGGATGCTGGTTCTATGCCTACTACATGTGTGAGCTCAGACTCTTTACTAAACTCTATTTCCTCATACATAAATGAAAATGTTACCTACATCACAGGATTTCGATGATGATGAAATGAGCTGACAATTGTACAGTGCTAAGAACAGAGTGGTTGACACATGCTAGTGTTTTGAATTTTTTAAATAGACAAAATAACTTATCTTTTTTTTTAAAGATTTATTTATTTTTATACAAGAACTGGGGTACAGGCCAGATGTATGGGAGGGTGAGAGGATTCACTGGAGACAGAGAGGGGAACAGAACAGGAAGACTGATGAAATACACTGCTGAGGGGAACAGCGGACATAACAGGAGAGGTCTGCTGCGCCGAGTGGGATTCGCGCTGGCTGGATGGGATCGAACCCGCGCTGCAGAGGCTGCAGCTTCACAGTGTGGCGCTCAACCACCTGCGCCACCAAAGAGGCCCCGAAAAATAACTTATCTTTATTAATTGGGTTTTATGAATGCAATGAGGTTTTATTTTTTTAAAAGATTTATTTATTTATGCATACAAGAGCTGGGGTACAGGCCAGAGTTGGGGGGGGGGTGAGAGGATCCACCAGAGACAGAGTGGAGAACAGAACAGGCAGACTGACTGAAATACATTGCTGAGGGGAGCAGTGGGCGAGACAGGAGAGGTCTGCCTCACCATGTGGGTATCTCCCTGGCTGGCTGGGGATGGAACTCGTTGCTGCAGAGGCTATGGATTGCTTCATAGTGCGGTGCTTAACCGCTTGCGCCACCAGGGACACCCCGAGTGCAATAAGGTTTTAATGAAATGTCTTCTTAATGACTCCATTTCACATATTGAATATTAGAGCCATTGATGTTGTCCAAAACAGCAATGTCAAGAATATGTAGATTTCAATCTGAGCTAGAACTGTTTTCAATAATATCTATTTATGATTAGAATAGGTAATTCTTTTTTTTTTTTTTTTAAGATTTATTTATACAGGGCCTCCCTTGGTGGTGCAGTGGTTGAGCACTGGGCTGTGAAGCTGCCCACAGCCTCTGTAGCGCTGGTTCGATCCATGGCCCCTGACGAGGGTCTCACATGGCGTGACAGACCTCTCCTGCCATGCCCGCTGCTCCCCTCAGCAGTGTATTTCATCAGTCTGCCTGTTCTGCTCTCTGCTCTGGCTCTGGTGAATTCTCTCACCCTCCTGCGCTTCTGGCTGTATCCAGTGCTTGTATAAATAAATAAATCAATCTTTAAAAAAAATATATTTATACATACAAGAACAGGGGTACAGGCCAGAGTTTTGGGGGGTGAGAGGATTCACCAGAGACAGAGTGGGGAACAGAACAGGCAGATCGACTGAAACACACTGCTCAGGGGAGCAGTGGGCGAGTCAGGAGAGGTCTGTTGCATCATGTGGGTTACCTCCCTGACCGGGGATCAAACTTGTACTGTAGTGGCTGTGATGAGCTTCATAGGTTGTGTCACCCTTTGCGCCACCAGAGAGGCCCCAGAATAGTTATTTCTTAATGAACACAATATGATCCAATGAATTATACAACAATTTGGATGAAACAGATATCTTGATAGTATAACTTTTTCATACTAACTTCAATTACTTTGAGAAAAACAGAAATCATTTTCAAATACTTGGTGATACATCAAAACATGTGGCACTGCATCATGATATTTACTAGCACTGACAGCTAAGAAATGTAGATAATTCATTCTGAAGTGTTTAAAAATAATTGAAGACTACCCATTTCTCATACTCTGCCTCCCATTTGTCCAGTACCAACTCTTGGTGCTGTTGCTGTCGGCACTGCCCAGCCTTGCCTTCAGATCGCTGCTGCTGGCTGCTGCGGTGCTGCCTCAGCAGCACCACCTGTGACTACCTCTGGCAGCCACCTGGAGTTGGCTCCTGGTCCACCACTTGCCAGTGTGCCACCAGCTCCGGGCTGTCGTCAACGGGCCAATGCCATGTTGCACAAGCAGCTTTTGGTTTTGTACTACTAGATGTGCAACCACTCCCTGGTGTAGGACTGCTGGCCATTTGTGGCCTTAGAAACACTTCTTTTTTTCAATTCTCCCTGTTAATAAACCCCATTGTTTATTAACCCTTCACCTGAATTGCCTCTTGCAACTGTAAGCACATGGGTGAGGACCCTTGAACCATGACCTTCCCCAGGTTTTGCATGGTTCCAAGGTTATATTCAGAGTCTAAATTTAGCAAAATAACATTTAGTATTTTATGGCATGAAGAGGAAAAAAAACACCATGTTCTTAAAAAGCAAGTAATTAACAAAAAATAACTTTTGCTCTCTTTCTACCAAAAAGCATTTCCATTTGCTATGTTGGAAGATGAATCTATAGATTCACTCACTAGCTGAGTATATGAACTACACAGTGGTTCTCACAGCAGCAGCACATATTTGAACTTTAATCTTTGTTCATATATAATGACAGTGCAATAAAAACCTGAATTAATATGACATTCCTCATCACCTTGAGTCATATTGATTATCTAAAAACATACTGAGAATCTGCCAACTTTCACTGTTTTCAGAAAAATGTGGTAAATGCCACCATCGCTGTCAGCTTGCAGCAATGCTACAGACAAGATTTCCTACACAAGAAGAATAATTGCTTAGCACCTTTAGAGGTTTGCACGAGAATATTGAGCACAGAACCTAGTGGACAAGTTTTGGAGCAAATGTACCTAAAAAGATGCCTTTTGATGTTTACAAGAAAGAAAACTTGGAATAATTGTTGCTTGCATTATTTTTGAATTGCTTTCTATATTTTGACTATATATCTCTCTCAACAGCTCTCTCATGTTATAAAGAGTTAGCAATGCTGTTATTTTTAGGTATTTTCAGTCAGAATATATACTTATCACATACTATGTGTAATGTTTATCACGTGTTTTCTACATGGCTGACATTCTCTAACACTAAGGAAGAAGCATGAACAAAACAAGTTCTTGTGAAACATTCTAGGTGGGGAGACAGAGAGCAATCTGTGAAGTGGGGACACAAATGTATAAACAAATGTAAAACAGGAGAAGGGGGAGTAAAGCAGAGTGTTGCAGAACAATGGGATGTCAGAGAAGGCCATTAATGTGTTTACCTTACTAGTGTCAGGAAAGGTGCCTCTGACATGCAGCAACTGAACAGAGTGCTGAAGGGAATGAAGAATATTCTGTTCCTAGCAGTGGAAATACCAAGTGCCAAGACCCTGGGCAACCTTGGGTCTGGGACCAAGTGGTGGTGTGGAGAGTGGGAGCATGACAGGAAATGAAATCAGGCAGCAGTGAGGGAGAGGCAGGTAGGTCATTCAGCACTACGACAAATCATAACCTTATTTATTTTTTTTCCCAAGTGAGTGTTCTGAGCTGTGGGGAAACTTAAAAGTGCCTCTCTGGCCACTGTGCTGTCTAGATTATAGGGGGCAGAGTTGAAAGCAGGGAGACAAGTAAGGAGGCTATCATGACAGTCCAGAAAAGAAAGAATATAGTCTGGACCAGTTCAGAGAGGTGAGCTGATAAGACATGAGTAGATTCTGGATGTTGTTTGGATGTATCGTGTTTGTTTTACACATGAAAATTATTTTATATATGAAATAACATGTAAGGAAAACATAGTCATTCATTAGTTATTGAGTGACTATTCCATGCCAGGCACAATTCTACACATTTGGGATCCATCAGGAAACAAAGGAAAGAGAAATCCTTGCCTTCACGGAGCATCTCTTCTAGTGAGAGAGACATAACATAATAGACATTACAAAAATAGTAACTAGGCTGGGGGGATTGGGAGTGCACAGTCTGCAATAATAAAGAAGAATTCAGGAGGCCTCGTTGATAATATATATATATTTAAAGGTTTATTTATTTATGTATACAAGAACTGGGGTACAGGCCAGACGTGTGGTGGGTGAGAGGATTCACCAGAGACAGAGTGGGGAGCAGAACAATCAGATCTACTGAAATACACTGCTGAGGGGAGCAGCAGGCAA